ATTATTTTTTAATTTAGTAGTAATGAAATTGGTAGTAATTTAAAAATAAATGCCCTTGATGTAACTTTGCAACAAACAGTAACATACGAATCTACTGATAAAAGTTTGTGGTCTTGTACTTTAATCAGTTTGATAATTATAACAGCTTCAGTTAGTAGAGAATGACATTGAAAAATAGGCTTGGTAATGACAGTTGCCCTTATTGACAAATTTTAATTTATAATAAGTAATCAATAGAATCTCTTCCATAATTCTTAACTCATAACTATATTTATAACTCGAAAAAAATTATATATACCTTGGTAAGAGTTGCATTCGTTTCAAAATTCTTAAGGATAAAGGCATAAAGAATCAAATAATTGAATTTTGAGTTGGGATCGAGCATTGGTAATGACAATTACTACCTATTTTTTCTTTTATTTCTTTTAAAATTTGAAAATGTACTTCTTTTATATTTACAATTTTACTGTACCGATTTTTTACACTTCTAAGAAAACTCTCCCGTCAAAATATTTCAGAGGAGTGGAGAATTAAAAATAAAAAAAAAAAATCTTGAAAATCGATTTGTAGTTAAAAACGGCCTTAATAATGGTTATTTTAAATTGAACTGCATAGGACTACCCTTAACGTGACTGCTTAATAATTTTTAACCTGTTTATTTTACTCAGTAAGAATCGATTTATAGGTTTTATATTAATACTGAATGAATTCCGATTAGTTTTATATTAAAAGAGGAATAAATTGACTACATTTATATACTTAAGGCTCGTGTGGCAACTTTCCAACCATTGTCCGCCGCCAATTAATAGCCAATCCCCCAACCGGCGTTTAATCTTGATATATAATTTTAGTTCATGCAACGATCTTTTCTATTTATTGGAGAAGTTTCTGTCGAAGTTTTCACGGTTATCCAGTTATCTCTGCAAGGTAGACTCATTTATCACAGTTTACCCGGAAATCACTTTCCTCCTAAGTTTCCTCTGGAGAATTTTCCGACGTTTGCAGGTTCGTCGTGGAGATAGAACGTCCTTTTGCGTAACCAGACTCGACCGTGTAAAAGATTACTTTTCAAAGCCCCATTCGGTATCATTATTACCAAAAGTTTTCTTGCGAAGATGTGTTTTGGTGTGTGACCATTTCCTTTTCAGGCGGGGATAGAGAGAGAGTTGTATAATGGTCTTTGCCCAAAGGCATCATTTAAAGATCTTTTCAAAAGTGCCGCATTTTCTTTCTTTATTATCTCTTTTACTTTTTGTTTGCAATATTTATAGACATTCTTGATTTTAATCACATCTTTGACTTTAGCTGTTTGCACTCGACGTACATTCAACGGTTGGAAAACGGATGCATTAAGTTTGCTTACACAGAAGTCAGAGTTTGTACACTTACCAGAAGGCACTAATGAAATGGTTAAATGTTAAGATGTAAAAATTTTAAGTCATAGTGGTATGTGTTTTGTAGTTGCACACTTACCATTGCCAGAAGGTACTAAATAAAGTGGTTAATCGTTAGGGTTTAAACATTTTAACAGTCAAAGTGATATGTGTTTTGTACCATTATCAGAAGCACACGTACCATTACCAGAAGGTACTAAATGAAGTGGTTAAACGTTAAGATCTAAAAATGTTCACTGTCATATTGGTATGTGTTTTGTAGTTGGCAGTATGGTCACCTCAAATGCAAAGGGTCAATTTGCGTTTATGAACATAGGGAAATTTTTTTTTTCATTGCCTCTTCTGAAGCACCCTCTAAAAAGGTGCCATTTGGTTTAAGCTAATTGTTGGAAAGTTTTTGCTCAATAAAATAACATTTAAATTCTGCCTCAATGAAATAATAATTAAGTTTGAAAGCGTCTCCTTTAAGACCTTTTTTTCTCTAAAAATTATTTTTTGCTGTAAAATCCGAACGAGTGATTGTAAAGACACAAATCTAGACTCAATTTATGTTTTTAACTTCATCTTTTATAAATAAAACCTGTTTGTAAAACAAATGGATCAAAAGATACTTTTTATTATTATTTTTTTTAAAGAATTATTCTAGTAAAATAAATTTTTTTAATTGATTGTAGACAAAATGTGTATATTTTGTTAATTACCATAAAATAGCTCAAGTTAGATTGATACATATGGTTTTGTTACTATATTAGTAAAAAATAGCAGAGATTGTCAAAAAGAAGTGAATAAAATCAGATTAAGTAGACTTGTACAATGTATTATCTCTTCTGTAAGTGGATGTTTTAAAAACCCTAGCGCATGGATTTAGTATGTTAAAGAGAGTAACATGTGATTAATATAAATTGCATAAAATATTGCTATTTATTATTAATCTTTTATTTCAAAAAGTAATCTTATTCGTTGTTTTCACACGAAGACAAGTGCAGTAAAAATAATTTCTGCAGGTGTTACTTTTGAGAAAAGATTGCTTTTATGTTAATGTCTTCTTTTCTCGTGAACTTGATTATTATCTCCTTTCTGTGCAATATCTTATCGAATATTGTCAAAAAAAAGAGTAAAAATTCGAATTTATTGTAAAATGATCGTATGAAATATTGAGCTGCAGTTATAATTCAGTACTTCTTTCTATCAACTACAATATAGAACCATGAAAACGTATCAAATATTGAGCTATAGTTTTAAATCAATGCTCTATTTTTTGTATCAAATTGATTGTCCTCTCTGAATTATTTGTATTTTTACCAAAATGATTGATCGATTTAGAGAGGTTTTTTATTATCGCAAGTAGTTGTAGTGGGATTATTTCTGTTAACTTAACGTTATATTTGAAGTCGACTTTGTGTAGTGAATCATTTCATAAATAAAGTGACTCATAAGGTTTAAGTCATGGTTTGTGGACTTTTTCTTTTTATGGCACGTATGTGTCAATAAATGGGTGAATAAATAAATCTAAGCTTCTTTTCTAATCTTTCAATATTTACGATAGGATATTTTTTACCAGTATTTTAAGAATAATTCAGAAATTTAGATTTTGAAAAGAAAATACATAGAAAGACACACAAGAAGTATATTAAAATATAAAATTTTTAAAAATCTGATTTGAATGTAATCAGTTTTTTTAGTTTGTTACAAAATGAAATATTAAAACCACCAGGTCACTGTTTAAAAAGTTTAAAGGCGTTGATTGGTGAGTTTAATAGTGATCTTCAGCGGTTTTAGAATCTAATACTTTGAATTTATCTTAAAACATCGGTGTAATTTAAGGCTTAATTCTCTTCCCACAAAATAAAATATTATTTTTTTTTAAAATACAAAATGTAATGTTACACACAAGAGTATATTAAAATATAAAATTTTTTTTAAAATTCTGTTTTGAATGTAGACAGTTTTTTAGTTTGTTACAAAATGACATATTAAAACCACCAGGTCATTGTTTAAAAAGTTTGAAGGTGTTGATTGGTGAGTTTAATAGTGATTTTCAGGGGTTTTAGAATTACTTTGAATAAATAATCTATCTTAAAACATCTGTGTAATTTAAGGTATAATTCCCTTCCTGCAAAATAAAATAATTTTTTTAAAATATAAAATGTAATATTAAAACGAAGTTGGAAATCCAACACTGTATACAATGCTAATATATTATACACAATGCCAATATATTATACACAATGCCAATATATTATACACAATGCCAATATATTATATACAATGCCAATGGGCTATATACAGCAAGGTATGAAATATGATTTCACTTTTAGTTTGTATCAATATGTTGAAAGTAATTTCTTGGTGGTTTGCATTTGATAGTATTTTCTTTAATAAGCTAGGCATAAATTGTTAATAATAGTATTACTAACTATTTACTACTAGTTAGTATATTGCTAAATAATTTATTTAAATCTTCAGTATTTTATACATTATATTAAATCTTCCAAAATTACGTCGTTATATGGATTGATTACATTTAAGATATTAGCTTGCTTGATTATCAGCTCAATTTCTCCTTTAGCTCCTTAAGTGTTGGCCTATTAAATTTAATTGAACGTTGAGAGCAGATGCTATTGAGTTGCCTCAGGTGGTGGTGTATAATCCACGGATTACTTGAAAAGATTCTATTCCTCTTACTTCTCCGATTTTTCTTTTTAATTTATGTCGTTCCGATGTATATTTAGAAATTTATTTTTGAGAACTGTGAGCTTACATTTCAGCTTTAATAATATATTAAAATATGATTTTGAATTTCAACGTTTCAGTTGTTTGTCTTGCAAATATTTTTTTAGTGTTTGTAAATTTTGAGTTCATCTTTTTTTTATTTATTTAAAATAAAGTTAAAGTGAAATGAAGTCCAAGTATGATTATTTTTTGTCTCATTTTGCAATTTAATTTTCTCTAAAAATATTTAAATTAACGTTTATACTTTTCTATTTTTAGAAGTGAGGGAAATAATATTTAATTTATACTTTTAAAATTAATTTATTTCTGACGCAGCAAACAATTGATTGCAAAGGGTTCTTATTTTTTTTCTTTTAGGTCTAGATTTTATTGATCAGGTTAAATAGTTCATGAGTAAAATAAAATGGGCACTATTTGCAGTTCAAAACTATGTCATTATTCTTTAATGTATTCTGATTTAAATTAATTTACTCTTTATTTTTTACCAAAACTGCCTGCTTGTCTTCAAAATTTTAGAGTGTTTAGCTTGACCAAAAATAATCATGATGTTATTTTTTCCGGGATTAGTTTGTAATAATTAAATAAATATTTTAAAAACATTTAGTTAAATTATTTTATCTGTTTTAGTTATACTAGTCGTTTTTGGTGACCAGCTTGGTCACCTCTCAAAATTTATCTTGTACAACATTCAAACTTTAATGGCAACCAATTCGAATTCACAGCACAACTGTTTTTAAATATTCTAATTATATAATAGTTACAAAAATAATAAATCAAAAAAATAACGATATTTTCCAACTCTGCTTGATGTTTTAAATACTGCATGTTAAAACCGTTCTGGGTTTTCTCTTAACGGGCGTATATTTATTGCAGAGATGGTCGTCTACAGGAAGGCGATCAGATCCTGGCGATCGACGGCCAGCCGTTGGACAGCAACATCTCCCATCAGCAGGCCATAAGTATTCTGCAGCAAGCCCGGGGCCTGGTCGAACTAATCGTGGCCCGGGGCGGTATTCCAACATCAGAACCTGTGACCCCTGCTGTATCCCTGGAGCGGTCACCTTCAGCCGTCAGTGACGCGTCCAAAGGATCCGATATGGTAGTAAGTATACACTTTATTTTCTCGCTATTGTCTAACCATAGCTGACTAAAATTGTACCTATTGTTTGTCTAAAGTAAGAACTCCCCTAGCCATTCGTCTGGACCTGTGACTATGGTTACGGGGTATAACTATTTAAAGTAGGAGTGTAGGGCATTGTTTAGGACAGGTTTTGGCTCGGATAGTCGAGAGAAAGGGAATCTTTTTCTTTGGTCTACTGTATTAGTCCTAGATTGTGAAGAGAAGCTACCCTCCCTGAAATGCGCTATTCTTGTTTCCATAGCAGCAGACGGCATCAGACTTTGTGGCGATGAGAGTACTTACCGTACACAAACTATACTGTTTGCTAGAATTGAATGTGCAAAGATACAATTTGAGACGTGGAAATCAGAAGGGGAAACTTTCCTTTTGTATTTTTTTTTACTTCGGAATCAGAGGAATTAACTCTTATCTTACATCTGTTGAATAGTGAGAAGTATGTCTTCATAAGAAATGAAAATTTCTCATTCTACTAAAAACTGCTACGTATAAGTTCTGGGCGATAGGATCAATGAACTGCAGTTGGAACGCCAGAGCTGCTCTTTTCTTGCATCCTCATCTTAAAATGTGCTGTTAATGTGCTATCACCTTAAAATGTGCTGTTAATGTGCTATCACCTTAAAATGTGCTGTTAATATGCTATCACCTTAAAATGTGCTGTTAACTTTTTGATTACGTTTCATTTGTTATTCACTTATCTATTAACTGAATGAAATAAATAAGAATAATAGTCTCTCGATTATTGCTTCGATTAAAATTTTACTTTGTGAACTTATCCAAAAACTTCTCGCATTGCTGGAAAAGTGAACTGCAGACCCGTATAAAATACATATAATAAGCCATATAAAACCCATATAATTTTTATATATTTGCATTTTTACATTCTCCAAACCTGCACACACTTATCCAAGCTATTCCACATCTAGTATTTTTCTGAACGTCTTTTAAGTAGTGGTCCATGAAACCATTATTTTTTAAGATTGCATTTTTAAAGCAATTGTTAAGCAATTTTCTGGTTTGCATTTAATCTGTTTTAGAAATAAAATTTAATTACCAGTTCCACTGCATCACAGACCGTTTTTTCCCCCATCATAACACTACGGGTTTTGCAATTTTAAAAGAAAATTACAGGGTATCAGCGCACCTGGAATGTCATGAAAAATCATGGAAAGTTGTGAATTTCGGTATTGGACAAAATTTGTCATGAAATGTCATGATTTGATATATTTTTTAAAAAAGAAATCGTGAAAAGTCATGAATTTAGGTCGCCGAAAAATTTTATTTTTAGAATGGGATTCCTCTGCCCCCCCCCAAATTTAATGGTGTTCCGAATATCTGAATTTGTAACAAAATCCCCACTCAGAGTCATATTTTATTAAAATATAAAATGTTTTTATCATGTTCTTTAAAAATTATGGTATTCTTTTAAAAAATGAAAGAAAAAATATTTCTAGAGTGAAGTATGTTTTAAACTTCTGTCATTTCAGAGTTATTATTATTTTTAATTTATAATTTTTATTTTATCAATTTAAAATTTTAGCTTAAGCAGGCTAGTCATTTGCTTAAGCTAAATTTTTTTATTCTGAAATGAGAATGGAAAAATCAGTATTTCTTTCCTTTCTGATGATCAAGAAAAGTATCTTTGGAATATAATTCTGCAGAAAAAAAGAATTATTTGCTCAGCTATTATTTTTTCTGTTATTTTATTGCTCCAACTGTTTCTTTACTCTGTTTTTTGAATTTAAAATCAATAAATATGAAGATGCAGTGTAAAACAGTTTTGGTTATACCTTTCATTTCAATGAATGTTATTATAACGCTTTTTAAATTTATTATTCTGTTTTTGTCGGAGGAAATAGTAACTTCGATAAGTCATGAAAAGTTTTTGGAATTAGTCATGGAAAGTCATGAATTTGAAAATCTAAAATGTAGCAGATACCCAGAAATTATGATTTTTTAAAATTTAGCTGATCATTAAAATTTTCTTTTAAATAAATTACATTAAAAATAACTGGAAATCACAATCAAGACCATAAGACTTCGGAACAATTTCAGTAGTGCAACATATTTGTTCCAGAAAAAATATTTTTACCGGAGTAGAGACCATCATTCGAAACTGGATGTTTTTATGCTACTTCAATCTCTAAAGTATCTTTTATTGAAGAAGCTTTACCAAAATTTTTATTCTCTTCATTTACTTTTATAATGCAGGATTGTAGAAAATACACTTTTGTTTACTGCGCTTCTAGATAAGAAGAGAAATTGAGTTAAGTTGAGCGTTTTGTTTTCTTTACAATATTCCACCTTAAAAGCTTATTTTCTTTTCACTGTTTTTTTTTTTTTTATCGAAGTTTGGTAAGTTATAAAATCTAAGTGCGCCCGCATTTTTTATATTTTTTTTTATCTTGAGAAAGAATTTTTTACGATGTAATCTTTAAAAATTTAAGGACGACACGTTTAATTTTATTGCACTTAAGATCGATATCTTAAAAACATCTAGTTTCTCAGGGATTTTACCTCGGATTTTAAAAAGAAATATTTTTTTCAAAGCTTAGTGTGTGAGATTTTAGGGCTGTTTTATAACATCTTCATGGCTAACAAGCTTTTTAAATTATGCTACACTTGGTATTAATTTACAAAACTTCTAAATAACTTGTTTATCACGATTGAGTTGTACTGCCACTTAAAGTTTCTTTTTATTAATGCTAATCATTCATTTAACGTTTTTACATCTTCTAAGGTCTCTCCATATTCGAACGAACTAGATATTTTCATGGGGATTTTTGTTTTGATGATTATAGTTTAAAATATAGGAATATAGCTAAAAGTACTTAATTGTAGTACATGTTTTGAAATTTACGTTATAGTTTGTCATCAAATAGTTGAAAAATAGTTATCTTATTGTTCTCATAATGCTCCACTTTCTTATCGTTATCGTCAAAAATGAAATTTAGTTTGCCATTAAAAATGAATGAATTTGCCATCGAAAATTGTTAAAAAAAAAAAAAAATATTGGTTTTATTTAATTAGTGAGCGCAGAAAATTTATAATTATTTTATTATTAAATTATTCTAATGATATTTTATATAATTCTTATAATTCTAAATGACGGAATCTTAAATTTGAAGTAAATGGATCAAATAATTCTTGAAAAATCAAAATTTAAAATTGCAATTTTTTGATGTTTGGTTGCTCAAAAATCTTTCCACAAATTTCTTTCGAATTTCATATTCTATACTGTTCTACGTTTTGATTCTATACTTCCAGCTTGAAAGACGCATTTTTTTTCATTAAGGGTGAACAATCTTTTGACGATTGCACTACTGATTTAGCACGTTTGACCATATTTTTGTTAAATCAGCTAGCACACTATTTTAAGGATCAGGAATTTAAATTCGCCAAGAGAAAATTATGATTTCGAGAAATTACGTATTTGCATTTAACTTAAAATATTGTCTTCACAAATGTATTACCATATTTAGAGTTAGGCCTTTGAACTTCGTATCTTAGTGCGTGAAAACTCGATCAAATTTGTTAAAGTGTGTTTTTTAATTATTTTTTCTCTGTAATGAATAGCATTTGACAGTACTATAAATATCTTTTTTAAAGAATTGTTTTTAGATTGTATTTCACTTGTTAAAAAGACAAAAAAGAAAAGTAAAAAACGATTTTTTCCCCCCAATAATTTTACCATTTATCGGAGATTTGATGGGGTAAAATTTTACATGCAAATTATTAATTTAAACTAAAACATTTTCAAACGAGCCCTTTGACGCAGCAATATATAATTTAGAAATTAAATAAATTTTTTAAAACTATAAAAACTATTTTTTTCTATGTTTTTAATGTTATATCGTTGAAAGTTGGTATCTTATTTCTTCACTTGAGAATTTCGGGAGGTTTGAAATGCGGCGGTAACTTGTTGCCTAAGTACTTTTCGGTGGAAAAGAATTAAATAATTCTTTTCCACCAAATAATTCAAAATATTCTGTGAATGTTTGGATTAATTGCCTGCTTTATTACTTTAATTGTTTGCAACTAATTAATTTTTTGAGGTGTGACAGCCAGACGTGAGAAATATGATCCGTGGAAGAAACTTAACCTCGCTGTTCGAAGAAGGTAGTCGCTTGAAATGGTTAAATAATAATAGTTTAAATTGCCTTTTTATTTTTATTTATTTTAATTTTAAAAGGAACACCTTGAATAACTTTTGATGTAATGAGCGGATCTTCACGTTCTAGGACTCAAGTTCCAGGGGGTGACCTCGAATAAGCTAATTATTTAGTGCAGACGATATTTTAATTTACGAAATCAGACACAATGTACTTTCTACCTATTTTATACCTACCTATATTTTATATCTACTTATTTTATACAATATACCTACCTATTTTTCGACGGATTCTGATATCTGGTCTCCAAAATATAGGAAGAAGCCGCAATCTAGGAAACATGGTTCCAATAGTTTGGTCAGAAGAGTAATACTTTTTGCCAAGGAAATATAAATATTTCAAAGCACTTAGCTTGTATTTTATTCTATTATAAACTTAATGTCGAAAGCGGATTTGTTAATAATAAAATACACTTATGAAAAATCCCACTTGGTTTTTTTTAAAGCTTTTTTTTCAGGTGGTTTTTTTCCCCGGCAAACTTATAACAAACCTGAAAGTAAGAAATGATCCTTGATCATGATATATTACTGACTTTATTTAAAAGTTAGATAACTAGAAGTCCAAACTCGTTTCTTCCATATCCGTAGCTGCAACCGTATTTTGTTGTTCCCTTATGCTTCACTTTCTTGTTGTTATCGTTCTGTTTTTTTCACCTCTAGTTTCTTGTCATCCTTTTTCACCTTTTTAAAGAAAATGCTTTTACGGAAGCAGGCTGATTCTTGAACTGGTGGTGCCAAGATTGCGCATACCAGTGTGTTTTTTGGGCAGGAATTATATATATCGGCTATTACA